GTGCGTAAAATATGTATGTCTATGACCCGGCTTCAATCAGGTAATGGGTCTATTTTCCAGCCTGACTGTTGTTCACAGTTTGTTTGAAAATGGATCCCAAATAGCTTGCCATTTTCTTTCAACATATTGTGTGACCTTATTTTTGTAATCTGTATAAGAGAGTCTGATGTTGGTTATTGTCATTTTGGTTGTTTCTTTTGCCTATGAATCAGTTTTTTGATTTCCCTTAATGCCTAGATGGCCAAGAAGCCAGGACAAAAATCCAAATCACCCTGAAATACATCAAATATTTGATGTATATTCAGGGTGATTTGGATTTTCCCCTTAATTATTGTTAGGCTGGATAAGTCTGAGAATATTCTTAATTTTCTGTCCGAGTTTATCATTTCAAGTGCCATTTATACGGCTAGTAGCTCAGCTGTATAAATGTATGCATTGTTTGGCAGTCTAATTTGTTTGTGGATTTCTCCCCAGAAAATAGATTTTCTTGGTCAAGCAGCTAGACTTCCTGTTATCTTCTTTTTTTTTCCTTTTTTAAATATTCTGGATAAATTTAAGCCATTTGTAATTTCAGTCTGATGAGATGAGCATTAAAAACTTACCCATTGAAATAAATTATAATTTATAACAGTGTTTTTAATGACGCATTAAATTTTTCCTTTATGCATATCATATTGCTCTGTATACTATATGGTATTTACTTGTTCCTCCCACTAGGACGAGATGTGACACAAGGTCTTTTTAAAGTGGGGACCCAAGCACGTACTTCCAGGCAAGAGACAAAAATTGCCCACAGCCTCAGTCAGTTGTGCTGGCACCGATCTCTCCCTTTGGTGCAATGGGAGGATGCGGCCTCAGGAAACTGTTCCCCAGGGCTGGGCACCTCTCAGTATAATTTTCTCAGTTGCCCCTAAGCGCACTCTGCCCAAAGAGAGACACAACTGAGAGATGATAAGCCACGAGTTAGAAATCTCTCCAAGAAGGAATTTTTATGCTCTGTATACTATACATTGAGCTCTCTTTACGGAGCCATCTTTTTAATATTTTATATTAAAAGACCTACTCAAAATTCTTTCCACATGGATTTGATATTATAATAATAATTATATATATATATATATATATATATATATATATATATATATATATATATATATATATATATATAAAAAAAATTCAATGGCAAATCCATTACATTCATTTACGTGCTAATACCCTTGGGAAAGATATGAATCCTCTTCTCCCTCTGGCTATAGGTAAATAGCAGGACAGACTGGGTTCTATAGCATTGGATGGCAACTGGTCTAGGAGAAGGACAACTTGAATTCAAAATCTGCGGAGGGTTATTTGGGGACCTTCTGCACGTAGTGCACTAAGTCTCTGTATTCAGCCCTTCAAAAAGCATGGATGGTTCTGCACAAAACCTTCACCACTATAATCAAATCTCATGTGCTGGTGTCAAGCTGTCGGTTCCTAGGAACTAATCCGCTTGACCCTCATACGTCAAATTTGACAGAGCTGTGTGTGTGTGTGTGTATATATATATATATATATGTTGAAGTGATAATTTTTCCTATCTCAGGGACAAAGTTGGTTTGTTGACTTCTATATACAGACTTTGCATAAGTGCAGAAGGTATCTAAATTAATCTCAGACCTTGATTTTGTATGATGCATAGTCTTTTTAAGTAAAATTTATGTGCGGCACAGTAGATAATGCATCCATAGTTTAATTTCGATCTGACATGTGATCTATATACTCCAAGTATTACCTTTCGGTCTGTACCTGTTCATTTTCAATACTACTTTTAAAAGTTTCAAAGCCCTTTGTTATTTTTGTTTTAGGTGATTGATGTGTGCTTTCAAGTTAAGCTTATTGTCTTATACTAAGCTTACTATCGCACTATAGCCACACTATTTACCCATAATTGGGAACCTAACCCCAGATCAGGGTGGGTCTTGAAAAATCCAGCCTGGTATGTTTTTAATTTTATCACGGAGTTGGCCAGATTCCAAAATTGTATGTTTCACTACAGCTTCTAGGTGCAAAGTTGAAAAATTGTGACTGACACATTTTTGCATTTATTATATAGATGACTCCTAGACATTTTGTTTGTTGGACAATGAAAATTATATGCTCGTACAGACAGTTTTCATTTTTGAAAACCAGAAACTATTTTTATTGGTTCATTTTTCTATATTATTTACACGGATCTGCATACGTCTTTCAAGGGATGACATGTTTGGAGATGAGTATGTAATAGAGTGATCATCTACATACAGAGACTTTTTCAATACTTTGATAGATGGTTTTTATAATTCGGTCGATTTCGGGAACGATAAGGGACCACCTTGAATTACTCCTGCCTGCTGCTTGTGCAGCTGATGTTGTAGTTCCATTTTGAACTCTAAAGATTTAGTGTGCTAGAAAGTATTTGATGAATCTGACCATTCTTTCTCTTATTCCTACCTTGTGGATATCTTTTAAGATTCCCTATTTCCATGTGATATAAATTTTTTTCAAGATCAACACCACATGGTGACCCCAAGTAAGGCCATCACAGACGAAGGATTCCACCTGTACTAGTTGATTACTGGAACCTTAGTTTTTCTAGAACCTGCCTTGATATCTACATAAATGATTGTTTCTCCAGATACTACATCAGTCACACATTTATCATTCTCTCCATTGGTTTGGATATGAAGCTTGTCAGTGCAATGAGTCAGTAGTTTGTTGGATTAGAATTCTCTTTGAGTTAAAGAATTGGGATGACGATAAACTCGAGCCATGATTTTGGTAATTTGTCATTGTACTATATATCATTAAAGAACTGTAAGAGTACTGAAACTGGAAGAAAAAATTGATAGTGGATTATGTCAGATAAACCTCTACTCCTGTTCAAGGAAGGCATGTTAACTAGTCAATCTACTTCTACTGTTAATTGTAAAAATTTTCTAAACTGATGTAACTCCCCCATTTTATGAACATTTTTCTTCATCTAATTTAATTTTATTAGGTACTCCAAATAATATTTTTATCAAGTATATATTCTCCTTTTCACATAAATTTAAAATCAACAATAATTTCAAATTGAGTAAGAGAATACAAAAAGGCCATTATGTGTTGAGGGAGAGGCACAGTAGGCCAAAAGTCAGGTCTATGGCATTATGAATGAGAGCATCAACTAACAGAGACCCAGAGGGCAGGACACTAGTAAAAATGTGTTGCATTAAAATTAGTTTTGCATGGGGTGGAATCTGAGATGTCAAAAGATTACTTGGTCCTTTGTCACTCACTTGCAGACTGCTTTCAATCAGTCCACACTAGCTGCCAGCCTGTCTCTTTGATGTGCATTCCTGCATTGTCTAATATACCACAGATGTAGAGGTTAAAAACATGCGTCCATTGTGGCTCCATTGCAGTTCACACCTACTACAATCAGCTAATTATGTAGGGTATTTATGCAAATCTTGAGCATCATTATTTAGTTTTGGGGGGGAGAGAGAGAGAGATTTGGGGCTATGGTGATCAGTTTGTTGCTAAATTTACATCTTATAAAATCAAAACACAAAAAGAGACTGACATTGTTGTGAAATATATTTGTACCCATTTGTCAGGTAGACTACATAGTTGTGGAAGGTCAAGTTTTCTTCCTGTCTTTGGGGTGGAACTAGAACAGACTCCGATGAACTTGAAATTGTTTGTTGGTGGGCAGGTCAAGCTCAAAAATTCTACTGCATAAGTAGAGAAAGAATGGGGGGACAAAGCTGTTAAAATTATTAATTATGCAAATGGTTCCCTGCAGACTACAGGAAGATAGTCTGTGAACTGAAGCATGTGAAATCCCCAGTCTAAAGAGATAATTGATATTTTTTTTGTATGCAGAGAAAATGCCTGCTTAATTTTTTTTTTTTATACACCCATACTTATACATCTAGTACCAATACAGTAGCTATGTTATGTGATACTATGGACACCAACATAGAAAAATGAGGTGGTTTAATCTCAATCTCAAATGTTTCTCTTTAACAACCAGCAGGATTGGATGTTGGATTTAACGGCATGTCAAGTGCTATTTGGGTCAATTAACCAGCAGGAGGTCCTTTTTGAAGTCTAGCTTTCTAAGAAACATCCACTCTGATCAAATGCAAGCAAGAAGTAAAGGTATAGTTGAGAAGTTTTTAGACGTAAAGTCACAACAAAACTGGAAATAAGGTATTTACACTATTTACATTGTTCAAATTTGTCCACAACCTTTATTGCCACATTTACATTTCGGCTGCCATATGCTCCAGCCATCTTCAGGTGATTTTCTTGGAATTTCATAGTGAATCCATTAATTAGAGCATACAGTGACCGAAATGTCATGAATATGGCAATAGAGATGAGGACAACAGACCGAACAATGTAAATAGAGTAAATAGTTACAATACCTCATCTCAGAAATATAGACAGATCCTGAAGAAGGCCAGAGCGTACAACAGCCGAAACACCGTGAATATGACAATAAAAATAATGACAACAGTCCAAACAATGTAAATAGTTACAATATCTCATCTGAGAAATATAGACATATGTGGAAATAGGGTGTATGTCATCTGAGTGCTTGTCTATATTAACAGTCATGCTTGGGATTACAATCAGTTCTGGTCTGCATGGCAGGAGACAAACATTATGTGGTTCTGATGCTGTCCATCTGTACATTGTAAATGAGCAGGAGGAGGGTAGGAGGGAAAAGCTGAGTTGTTAGACCAACTGTTGTTCCAATTAAAACCTACCTATCCAGATGAGTAGGAAAAAAATACTGAATAAAACATCTACATATGAGAAATAGGTTCTGCCTTATTTCTTGAATAAACATATATATTTTTTTTCATCTTGTTAGCTTGCGAGCATGCAAGAGGCCCTTTCCCAGTTTTCAGTACACACCAATAAGATTGAGAATCAGAATGTGATGTGAGGGTAATCATTGTAAATATACAAAAACAAAAATTACTTACCGATACAATATTTCTGGCCCGTAGATATCGGTAAATCTGTGTAGGTTCTAAAACGAAGAAGAATAGAATTACAATTAAAAGTAGTAAGAGACGATACAGTGTTCTTCAAGTCATGAAAATGACTATGATGTTTATTGCATTCTTTAAACTGACTTTTACTACTTGAAACAACAATAATAATAACAATAATAATAATAAAAAAAAAAAAAAAAAAAATTTTCCTTTTCAATACACAAGTTGGTTGGTTGATAGACTGTTTTGTTTAGTGGCATATCAACCACTATGGGTTATTTAACTCCTTCCCTGGCATAAACACGTATATGCATTTTTACTGAAAGTGTCTTTTTCAGACAAATAAGCATGTCCAAAAAACTGGCTAGACATATTCATACGTCGATTCTTTCTATGCCCTTCTAAGCTTGAAATGAGTCCAATTGTTTGGTAGGTGTTAGCTACTGCTCAGGTACTTCAAAGTGCCTCAGTTTCTTAGTTATTATATTAAAAACTAATAAAAAAAATTGGTTGGAAAATGAAACTTTTAGCCAAAATAATTGGCGGGAAAGAGATTAATGCTGAAATTTAAATATTTTGAACACAATTTTATGGCTTCAAGTACAAATAAAATGTATTGTTAGTCACTTTGCTATAAAATCTATCATTGGTAATTCTACTATAAAATACAGCGATCATTTTGCTTTGAAAAAAAAAAAAAAAAAAAAAATGTTGTTGATTTTATATATATATATATATATATATTTCTGGCATCTTCACAATGAAAATCTATTTTTATATTCATAGTGTTTGATTTTTGTTTGGGCTTTCACTATTTACCCATAGCTGGGACCCTAACAGGTGCTACCACCCCAGATCAGTGTGGACCTGAGAACAACAGCAATTGAGAGCTGGTTCCATGCTCCTCAAAACTTCCAATCTCCTGATCAGGGGTGGTCCTGTCAGATGTAGATTATTGTCATACCCAGGATTATAAAAATGCAAGGGAGACAGTCAAAGGTGTGAACTTCAAAACAGAAAGACATCAGAATTATTTAGATTTAATTTAATTATCTGGCTAGTGTAAGAGCAGGTAACAGAAAATGTGACAGATATCCAAAGATGCATTAGTACAGCAAAAGTAGCCATCTAGAAACTACATTACAGTATTAAGACACAGGAAAGTTTTGCGTCAAATAAAGAAAAGCGTGCTGAAATGCAATGTCATATATATGCAGTATGTTTGCAGATGCTGGACAATTTCCTTATAGATGAAGTGACTCTAAGCAACAGAGATGTGATCCTACAGATGGATCCTGAGAATACATGACCTGTGAAGAAGTGTCAAAGAAAACGGGCAGAGATGCTGATCCATAAAAATCTTAAAGGATGTAGTTAAGTTTACCATGAAAAGCAATACATTGCACAAAATCAACCCTTAACAGTATATGACATAGGAAATGTTGTTGATCGATATTAAGTAAACATCAATTTAATTTAAAATGTAACTAATAAATTCTTTCCATAACCAAATGTGAATCATTTAAATTTATTAATTAAAAAAAGGAAAAGTCATTCTGTCAATTTAAATGATTCAGCATGATTAAAATTGTTTTTGTTGGGATGATGGTTTAAAAAAAAAAAAAAAAAAAAAAAAAAAAAAAAACACCACAAACACACACACTAGTCTGTAGCCCTGAAGTTTAGCACAATTTATTAAAAAAATTTAGTTGGGACCTATTCAAATCACTATCTGTGGAGCCTGGGGACTTGCTACATTAAAAACTTATCAGCACTTCTCTAAAGACACTCCAATTTAAAACCAGAAACAGACAACTAAATTTTCCTGGACATTATAAGGGAAGAGATTGTTGTAAGTAGAATAAATTTTACAAAGTGAAAAAATTTTGTTTTAATGATAGAATAATTGGTGATTGGGAGGGAGGGCTAGGTTATAATTATGCCCCAAAGGGAAAGGCTGAATTTTAAATTTTCAAATCTCCACTCCATCTATTTGTATATGCAGTCTAGTAAACCTTATCCAGTTTCACTAAATTTTTTCTTGTTTTTAAGTATCACACATTGTAATAACAGAAATTTTGCCAAGAAAAAGAAAAATTTATTTTCACAGGATAAATTAAAGTAAAGAGAGGAAGTTGTGAAAAAGCATGACAGTCCACATCCTGCAAGGGAACAAATAAACTGATACATTAAAATAAAAGTTTTTTTTAAAAACAAAAAAGTGACATTTTTATAAAAGACATATGGTGGACTATCCTGTCATATTTGACGTATGAGAGTTGGTTGTTTTGTTTTATGGCATAGCAACCTCAGTAGGTCATTTAATGCCAACAAAATTTTGAAATGGATTCATAGCGATAGTTTGGTAAAAAAGTTGTGTATGTATACATATATATTTGGATTGGTTTTGTTTGTTTTTACGGCATATCAACCATAATGGGTTATTTAATGCCAACAAAACTTTTATTGCTGGTAATGTTTTTCTCCAAAAATCTATTTCTGGGAATATTTTTCCTTGAAGAAATCTATAGCAGGTAATATCTTTTTTTTTTTTTTCTTCAAAGAATGCATAGCTGTTTGTATTGCTAGTACTTTTTCCTTCAAAAATTATTGCTGGTAATATTTTTTCTTTTATTACAAAGTATTTCTGGTATTAAAACTATTTCTACACAAATTAAGAGGTGGTTCCACGCTCCCCAAAACCTCCTGATCAGAGGCCTTGCTGTTGGACGTAGTTTATCGTCTTACCTGAGGACACTACACATATTAAAGTCGAGCAGCTCAATTCCTAAAAACCCGACAGCCAGACACCAACACACATGATTTGATTATAGTGGTGAAGGCTTTATGCAGAACCAACCACACTGTTTGAAGGGCCAAATACAGAGACCTTGAGTACTACAAGGTCTCCAAACGACCCTCCGCAGGTTTTGAATTGTTGTCCTTCTAGACCAGTTGCCATCCAAGGCTATAGAACCCAGACTGTCCTGCTATTTACCCATAGCTGGAGGGAGAAGAGGATTCATACCTTTCCCAAGAGTATTAGCATGTAAGTGAATGTAATGGCTTCAACTGGAATTCGAATTCAGCTCTCCGATTCCTCAATCCAAGCTGCTATCCACTACTCAACCATATATATTATTTCCCGTGTGTGTACAGAGAGATGCAAAAGTAGATATACAGTAAAGAATAACAAAACATTGTATCTATAATTCTCAGAATGTGTGTGTGTAATTGGATGCTGTTTATGCATTTCTACACTTTTCATCAAATTTCAATAAAATTTCTTTTGTTTGATAGATAATTCTTCAGTGCTGGTTTTGAACTACTTCCTGTCCATTATAACTCTCAGTAACATTTTACTATCTCTTCTTGGATATATATATCTTTCATAAAAACTTTATAATAAAAATAAATAGTTTAAATTATTACAATAATATTATTTATCTCTATAAAAGGCTGTGTGTGTGTGTGTGGACGAATGCACGGCCGCAATTTTTGACAGATTTGCACCAAAATTTACATGCACATGCTCCAAGTTAGCGGGAAGGCCAAGACCGACTTTGCATTTCCCAACTCCCATCGATAGTGGAAATAATCGATTTTTTTCATGCTTCTACGGCAATTTTCATGTAGTTTGCGGCCATTTTGTACTGGCCAAAGTGAGATAAATAGGCAGGAAGATTCTATTGGCCAGCATGAGAGCCAACAGCTGACTGATATGAATGTTAACTAGCATGCTAGTATAAAAAAAAAAAAAAAAAAAATTAAAAAAAAATCGATAGCTGCATTCGTCACAAGTGGGAAAAATTTAAATCTGCATGGCACTTTACTCCAATTGGATCATTCGCTTGCTTAAACTCTACGTTGATTCTGATTCTGCAGAACTGGGTTGGGTGTGAAAAAGTATTTGTTGTTAACATTCTTTTTTCATTCGATTTTTCCAGTTATGAGTCCTTTTTAAAGCTGATTGTTTTGTGTTCATTTTGTTTAGTTCTTTTTTCGTAACAGATTTAATGTTTAGTATAAAGCTTAGAAAAAATTTGCAGTGTGAGATAGGCAAGAAGTAAGGCATGTAGCAACATCAGCACGGCAAAGTGCACTCCTTTAATGGCAAGGAAGGGCAAAAATATTTTAAGTCAAGTGATAGCGATTGCTGTATGTCGTACGATTTTTGAATCAAGCACGGGCAACGCTGCTAGTTATTATACAGTTTCCTTTTCAGGGTCACCCCCTCCCATCCAAATTGTTAACCCTCCATTTGGAGATGTGCTTCAGTTGCACCTAATTGTTGTTACTAATATTGATTTTCGGGTGGGCTGACTTTAAACTTAAACTGCTCCAAGTGAACGGTAAAAATTTCTGGTAATGAAACACCCAGTCAAAGACGGATTATACTGCTAGTTTATTATAGAAGTATGTCAAAAATAAACATGCCAATCCCTCAAATGTTCAAAATGTTTGCCCTTGTCATTCATACACTCCTCTTTACACCCAGAACATTATTATTTTTAAAAAGTAAAATAAAAATTATGTACACTATTTACATTATTCGGACTATTGTGCTCATCTTTGTCGCCATATTTATTACAACGTTTCAGCCATTGTATGCTCCAGCCTTCTTCAGGTGCCTGGAATGTTGAACTGAACACTTCATTTCACTCAAGGACACATGGCACAGTGGATAAAGGCATTGGTTAGATCAAGTGACAGGACCCAAAGAGTGTGAGTTCAATACCCGGTTTAGGCAGTGGAGAACTTGGAGAGGGGAGTTAACAAGAGATAACTGACATCCATTAGACATGGCACGTGGAACTAGAACAGTCAACCCGAGTGAGCAAAATAAAGGGTTCAGTTCGACATTCTAACCACCTGAAGAAGGTCGGAGTGTACAATGGCCGAAACGTAATAAAAATGGCAACAAAGATGAGGACAATAGTATGAATAATGTAAATAGTGTACATAATACCTCATCTCAGAAATATAGACAGACTTTTATTTAGTTATAAAATTGTAGTTGATTTAAAGTAGTATT